ATTCTGTGAAGCGCTTTGAGACATATCGAAGACGTGATATGCGCTATAACAAATGCAAGGAATATTATTATTAATATTAATAATAAGTCTTAGACCCAGGTGTAATTTCTCCTCACAGGACACTTCTCAGCATTGAAACTGATTGAAACAACTCCGCTATCTCTGAGCACTGGTCAGTGGTGAAGTGAAGTGCTTCCTTATATAAAGGATTTCCTGCCCAAATGGGCAATGTTAACCCTAAACTGCCCCAAATCTCTATACTTGATTTTAGAATTGAGCAACAGAATTAGTGGTAGGATTAACATCGAGAGTAGAGAAACCATTGTCTTGGAATGAGTTGAGCAATCCTTGCATTTGACAAAGTGTCTATAAAACTGCATTTAGTAGGCAAACAGTGGCGGGCAATTTGCCCTAAGCGGCGACTCACAATCAACCATGAAGTGACAGACCAATTTTATCAGAAACATTTTGGCCAGGAAACTTCACAACATGGGATCCTCAGTGTTCACCTGAGCAGTTAGACAGGATCTCAGTTTAGCCCTGTTTATAGTGTGATCCCTGCTTTCTATTCTGTGAGAGTGAGATAGAGGTCTGTATCGATTGTGTGCGGGCGTTAATCATATCTGGAGTCATTGTGTTTGCACTGGAAACATTGTTCATGCCCATTGTTCCTGCCATCATTTCCTTTAGAATAACTTAGTTTAATGCCATCCTGAAGTCATCTCATTCACTGCTGCATTAACAGATTATTAAGAGTTTTGGGACCAAGTGCAAATCTTGGACATTAAGACGAAATGAACCTGATGCCCTTCCATGATTAGCCAAGGACCCAGACCATAACACAATACAGACTGACTGTTTTGACTTTCTGATTTTCGTTCATCTTTTCCCTTTTCCCCCATCCCCCTCTGCTCCCACCCCCAGCTCAGGTACCCAAGTCAGGTCTGTTAAGCGCCTTGGGATGTCCTCCCGGTGTGAAAGGCGCTATATAAATGTAAATTCATTGTATCTTTTCAAACAAAAATCAAATTGTTACTTTCTATGAGCTTGGACTGTTCCTTTCAAACATTATTATCGCTCTTCCCATCAGAACATGTTTTGAACAAATGGATTAAGTTAACCTACTCTTATTGCCCAGGGCAATGCAATGTGCGCAGCCATCACCGCCTACATCCCCTTCTCCCTCACCATCCCGCAATTCCAACTAGTTTTAGTCATTAAGACAATTTTATCTTTAACTTTAAGTTTAACAGTCAGTCTGTATTTAAGGCTGTGCAGAGTTATGGAACATTATTTCATTCAGCACTAATTTGGAAGCGGTTTTCTGCATTTCTTACAAAAAGAAGCAATTTCCAAATTAAGACTGAATTTATTAATTTTCGATATTTTTAAGACAAAATGGATCTCACTGCCTAATATCAGGTCTCTTTGTGCTACTATAATAATCATAATCATTGCATTTGATATAGTGCCCTAGCACGTCTTCTAGAGGTCTCAAAGGGCTTCACAGAATATACAAACAGTCATGGATTAAGTGACCAAACAAATTTTTTGGGAGGAATTATTACCCCCAGAAAAGTGATCCGCCAATCGACTAACAACCGGGATCCTACTTACTGCTAGGTAAACAGAGATGTATGGGGTAAGGAAACTTGCCTAAGGTTTCGCTCTGCCCAGGAAACAAACCCAGGTCCTCTAGCTTGCGAGGCGAGTGCTCTAATCACTGAGCTACGGGACGCTAGAACTACTAAAAACAGAGGCTAGGGCATGAATGAATTTTGTTCTTTGGACATGGACACGTGACAAATAAGCTTTGAGAAACAAAAACCGAAACAAATGATTGGAATGGGATCACAGCTGGTCCTTTTAGATGTCGCACAAATAGCACCCTCCTGCTCCAAAATGAATAAGAGGTCTGTATTACTGAGATCATAAAGAATGAAACTGTTAGATCACCTGCATAAGATAGATAAAGTCTGTCATGGGGGTCAGCGTCACTGTGAATCAATCAGTGTGTTCAAAGACATTTGAGATGCACTTTCAAAAGTTCCAACTTTTTAGACTTAGAACCTTGATGTTTCAGAAGCTTTTCTTCTATCCTCAGGAGGTGGATGGATGATTGAAGAGCAGCTTTTTGGCTCTCTTCAAAAGTTTACTGACATTCGTGCCTGCGGTGACAAGTAACTGAGTTCTAGAACTGCCAGCGGACATGCTAAGGAGACGGTCCCAATCCTCTGAGATTCTCACGTCTCAGCAAAAAGGATAGAGGGAACTGACTTCATGTTTGGTGGAGAGAAGGGGCTTTGCATTTGCGATTCAAGGATTGTACTTTCTCATTGACAGTAATCCTGTGCACTGCTTTGAGATGTAAAAAGGCGCTACATCATGTTTCGACAGGGTGATAAGGCATTGTATCAAATGTAAGGAATGTTATTATTTATTTCAAATAATAAGGCAACAGCCCAAGTCCTGGGCTGTGATGGGAAATGTTAGCACAGACAGATGTTAATATTTCTTTACACAGAGGCTAATTAACAGCTAAAGTGGGTATGAGAAAGGATGGTAGATCCAAGACATCACTTAAAAAACAGCTAGATATAATGGAAAGACAGTTGGCTGAGTATTCTGGAGAGATGAGATCAAATGGGGTGAAGGGTTTTCTTCATCCTTAATTCTTGTGATCGATTTCATGGGAGCCACATAATAAATGACAACTGTTAGATAACCTATCTGTTCTCCCAGTTTATAATGCTTTCACTGATCACTTCTGCTCATTCTAGTGTTACGTTATTCTTTCGGACTCGTTAAATCTTCAGTGTATTTATTTTCCAGTCTTTACCCACGAATCTAGACATTTATAGACAAGAACATGCCATCGGGTAGTCAGAACTGATTCCATAACACCAGCACCAGTCACCATTAAGCGTGAAATGACAGAAAAGTTATGAAGAAAACCAGAGCTCCAATCTTCACTCTTCGCTTGTCTGTCCGCTGCCAGAGGGCAGATGAAGAAAAGCCTCTGAAACTCTCAAGTAAACGTTTACAACATAGCAAAACAGAAGCACTTGAAGACTTGTGACCTGCTTGCCATGACAAGATTGAAGACAACTTTGGGGCAACAACAGTAAGTCTGGGTAAAAAAACATGTGGGCCCAAAATAATAATAAGAATTTGGTCACTCAATCCATGACTGATTATGGGACACTGCTGTGCGCAATTGGCTGCCACATTTCGTCCCCAGAATACACAGTCAATTCACTTTACAGTATAGTCTGCGGAGTGCTTTGAGACGTCTCGAAGACGTGATAAGGCGCTATACCAGATGCAAGGATTATTCATTATTATCCTGAAATTCATCCCACTTTACTGAAAACTGAATATTTCTACATGAGCAAATTATTATCTGGGTATAATTAATGCAATTTCTAACAAGTGACTTGACTGGCATGATTTTCACGTTCTCCACAGAACGCTTAAGACAGTTGAATAAAGCAACACCAAGGACACACTGTTATTTTATCAAGAATGTTACAGGGGCTGGAGACATCTTACATTGATGGATCTCGATCATGAAGGGGGTAAATTCAGAACAAATCTGCCGAAACACTAGTTCAGTGAGCGAGTAGTTAAATGTATGGAACAGCCTCCCTAGGGAGACGGTGGAAGCAGAAAGTGTTGATTCTTTCAAGAACAAATTAGATAAATTTCTGTTAGAAAATAATATCTCAGGATACAGTATATAGTTTGGGAAATGACTTGTGCATGTGACTGCCAGGACGGTGGAGGGCTGAACTGGATGGACCTTGGTCTTCTTTTGTCTAGCAATTCTTATGTGATCCCTTCCCAAATAGAAGCCAAAAATTAGTCCCAATGGAGAAGCTTTTACACTCAACCACAACATGCAATGAAAAGAATTTTGACACAACAATATATGCAAACTTGGACACTTTGGTTGAGACAGACAGGCTCTGATTAAGACAAGCAGATATGGAGTTGCCCTCTTCAGGGCGAAGCATCAGTGTTGATTGAAAGTTACATTTTGTTTTGAATGAGAAAAATGTGGAATCCCTAATGTGTGTGTTTGCAGATATGCCATTAACACTGCCTGCAGGTGCCAATGTCCTAAAATTCCACCCAGTTTTAGGCTGTAAGAGCATTTTGTTTTAAACTTGGCACACAGAATCATGGAACATTCTCAAACCCAGTTTTAATTTTCAAGTCATTTATTATTATTAACAGCCAAAAAAATTTCAGAATTAAAACTGAATTTAAGAATTTTGCTACAATTCTACGCGACCTCCATTTTAAGATGTATTGATCGCGCAGGCTAAAAGCAGACGGAATTCCAGGCTTCAGTTCTCATGTTATTATTCTAAAATGTCACAGTGCAGCCCTTTTATGAAGTGTTTTGTTCTAACGTTGGTTCATTTATAATGAAATAGGGAGTGCACCCCATTCTCCACCACTGTGCATGCACACAATGCAATACAGTACAAAATTACATTTGTATAGCGCCTTTCACATCGGAAGGAAGTCCCAAGCCACTGGACAGTTAGGGATTTGGACACAGGTGGTCAACTCACCTCCCGGCTGGGTCAGTGCCTTAAAATATTCAACTTTTGCGTGATTAATACGCCCCTGATATCACTTCCTGCACTGCATAAGTACCGCACTCAGGAAGTGACATTAGCGCCTATCTGCTGACTTGGAAGTTGGCCATTTTGGCATCCCGTGCGCTAAAAACGGCCAACTTCTGGGTCCTCAAGTCACCGCTTTTACTTGCTGCACTGCACATGTGCCAAGCACTCAGGAAGTGAACTTGGTGGCGATATGATGACCCGGAAGTCATCTTTTTATTCGTTCTGTTGTGTCAGAAGCAAGGAAATGTGCAGTGAACCTGGCTATTGAGGCCTCATCATAAGGCAAGTCAGGATTTTATGGACTATCGCACTATATCTCTCGTAGGAACTTATAACAAAGCATTCCCTCCTTGTACTTACTGGCATCGTCTGGCTACCATGTAAGGCGTTGATGGCTGCCTGGGCCTCAGCGTGTGCAGAAAACTTGACAAAGGCACATCCTGTGGAAACACAAATAGTTACGGTCAGAACAAATTCAAGCAACGTGCAGTGACCTGGAAATACCTTAACACAACACAATCATAACTGGCTGAAATGCTACTGGCTCATCAGTGTTTCTGGATCCAGTCGATACCATTCTCGCCTCTGAGTCAGAAGCTTATGAGTTCAAGGCTTACATTGGAGCTTGGAGCTCACAGTCTAGGTTGATATTCCAATGCAGTGCTGAAGGAGTGTTGTATTGTCAGAAGTGCCGTCCTTCGAATGGGACGTTACACCAAGGTCCTACCTGCCTCTTCAGGTGGATGTAGAAGATCACATGACACTGTTCGAAAAAAGAAGGGAATTTCTCCTGTGGGCCTGTCAAATAATTAAGGTCAGGGTGATCCAGGGGACCAGTTGACACATGTAAACTTACATTAAGTTTACAAGCACTTCAATGCTTTTAGGCTGTAGTACACACTTAATTCAGTTGATGTATGCAGGCAATAAACCTGATGCATACTGAAATTTTAGCATTGAGTCAACAAGAAAAACAGTGCGGAGTTGAACCTAACTGTACAGTACGAGTGTTACACCATTGGATTTCCTGTGTTAATGTCACTCTTAATATCACTGGCCACCGTTGATGGTAACACACATTAGCTCCACTGCACACCCTGATTTTTTTGTGTCTCTGTGTATCCATTGCTCCCATGCATTTTGATCGACCACAGTTGGTGGATCAGTTGGTAGGATTCTTGCCTGTTAGTCAGAACATTGTGGGTTTAATGCAGTGCTGCATTGTCAAAGATCCCGTGCGTTAAATGAGAAATTAATTAAACGCTCTGTCTACTTGTTCAGGTGGACCTTAAAGATCCCACAGCACTATTCACAAAAAGAAGGGAGTTTCTTTTGGTTCACTGACCAATTCTTCCAGCTAAAATCAGTCATTCACTTGTGGCTGCTTGTCGAACATTACTGTGTGAAAATTGGTTATCATGTTCGCCTACAAATATACATAGTCTTGACACTTTCACAATAAAATCCTGTCAAGCACTTTGAAATGTACCCTTGACATGAAAGGCATGATACCAAATGCAAGAATTGCAAGGAAGCAGCTGTTAAACAATGGGTAAGGCCCAGGAAGATCAACCTGGGTTGGAAACCATTGCTCCCTGCTTCTGTGTTGGTTTCTCAAGACACGTGGAAGCTCAGCAGCTTTGCCGAGGAGCTGGAGCTTGTGAGAACGATTCCACACAGATAATGTTTTTGATCGTTCTTAATTGTGGCTTTTGTCCAACATAAGAGAACTGTCTCTTTAAATTGGCAACCTCTAGAAAGGAAAGTTTCCAAAGCGTAACCTTCGAAGAATGCCCTTACCTTCTTAATTAGTATATCTTCTGACAGTTTATATCGCGGTGTCAGATCCGCTTCACTTTCAGCACACTGAATGTGTCGTTTCAAAGATCCATCAAAGTGACTAATAGGGTCCTCGATTATCCGAATCCATTCACATTAGGTATTAAAAGCAACTCATTATTACATCGAGCCCTATTAACGTCCCTGAGCCTTTTGTGATGCCGTCACAGCATTTCTTTCTTCCTCACAGTCGATAGGAGAAGGAGGAACGTCAAGATGAATGGGACGTCAGGCTGTCAGTGAATCCCACCGTCCATGTTCGAATGAACATTTGTCAGAGACCACTCTACTGGTCACCAGGAGATCTGCTGCTCAGCTCCTCTCGAGAATGAGATCTAAATATAAACCAATGGGCTAGCAAATAGGATACTAGTAATAATAAAATAATAATCCTTGCATTCTATATAGAGCCTTATTGCATCGTTGAGACGTCTCAAAGCGCTTCACAGGTTATACTCTAAAGTAGATTTACTGTATATTTTGTGGGTGAAACGTGACAGCCAATTGTGCACACCAGTGTCCCGCAAACAGTCATGGAGTGAGTGCTCAGTTTTATTTGGGGGCATTTTTGGTCAGGAAACCGGGAGTGAGAAACTCCTTACTTTTTTCGAATAGTGCCACGGGACCTTTAACGTCCACATGAACAAGCAGACGGGACTTAGTTTAATATCTCATGGATAACAAATGTGAGGGTGTATGTGGGGTGGGGGGCGGGGAGGGGGTGGGGGAAATTGCAGAGGGATAGGGAGGGGTCCAAATCATCCTAAATGCATTTCCTTTCCTTATTTAATGAAGTTTGTTAAAATGAGTGTTGAAATACATCTAGCCTTTCCAGCTGAACTCCCACTCCCCTCCCCTAGATAATAATAATAATAATAATCCTTGCATTTGATATAGGGCCTTATCACGTCTTCGAGATGTCTCAAAGCGTTTCACAGAATATACTGTAAAGTGAATTTACTGTATATTTTGTGGGCGAAACTGTAGATTTATTTAATATGCATTATACATTTTGTTATGTGATTGTTTGAGGTTCTGCTCTGCTGGTGATTAATGATTGCTAACAGATAACAGTTGTTTCATGCGCAGGACAAGGAAAAATCATCGGGGTTTTATCTGGCTGATCTCAGTGTTAAAACACAATGAACACACTATTCTACTATTCTATCTCTTGTGCCCCTCAATCGATTTACTTTTCATCCCATCATAAACCTGCGATGAAAGGATTTGCTATTTTTAGTAACCGTGTAAAATGATTCGCAATGATCTTTCTCTTGTATATTGATCCTCTTTGTAATGTCTGCGGTGGCTGTGTTTTGCATTGCTCTGATAAGAGATATTATCGCTGGAAACAAAACATGGACCAAACTTGGTGTCCCACTACCAAATATTCCTGCATCAGTCATTGCATGGACAGATATAGAACAAGGTTCTCTCCAACTGTGTTCCCAACCTCAACAGAGTACCTTCTTACACAAAATTCATCTCTTTTTCATACCAGACACATTTGGGGTCTGAATCCGTGAGCACTGATTTGACAGTGGCCAACCTCAATTCATGTAAGACTTGCACGATTCCAAATCGCTTTGGATGAAGAAAGCTCTTCGGCTCATCTGATGTTACCCTTCCAGAATACCCCTCACATTGTTGTCCTGTCCTCTGAGGACAAGGATGGGAGGGAGGGGAAGGGGTAGGAAGAAGGTGGCTGGAGCTGTATCCAAAGAGAGAGTTTTTAGATGGCTTTTGGAAGGGGTGGGAAAGGCTGCAAGGTTGGAGGGATTTATACTTTACAGTGCTTTGAGACGTCTCGAAGACGTGATAAGGCGCTATATCAAATTCAAGAATTATTATTATTATTATTATTTAGGGAGAGTTCATAAGTGTCTGAAAGCTCGAGCATGGGAGAGGGTAACAAAGGGATCTGAAAGAGTTGGGGCAGAACTACAAGGGATGATCGGAGACAGGGCATGAATCACGGGCCATTTGAAGCTTAGAATGAGGATTTTTAAAATCAATCTGTTGAGGGATAGGGAGTTGTCAGAATCTCACGAGAATGGGGAAGGATGATAGGTTCATGGAACTTAATGTAGAAGAGGATTCAGGCTGCAAAGTTCTGGATGGGCTGGAGCTTGTGGAAGGTTCAGCTGGTAATCTATCAAGGTCTTTATCTTTTTAACGGCTTTATCCAGTGCCGCATCTCATATCGCTAGTGTCTGATGGCCTGGTTTACAGTGAATAATAATAATAATCTTTATGTTTGGTACTGGACCTTTCACGACACAAGGGCACCTTTCACATCACAAATCACTTAACAGGAGTTATTGTAAAGTGTAGTCACTCTGTATTTTATAGGTGAACAAGGAAGTCAATTTGTGCGCAATATCGCACGAACAGCCATGAAATTAATGATCAATTTTATCTTGGGGATTGTCGGACAGGAAACCGGGAGAAACTCCCTTCTCTCTTCCAATAGTGCTGCGGGATCCGTAACGCCCACCTGAACAGGCAGATGGGACCTCGGATTAACAAATCATCTGAAGGACATCATCTCAAACAATGCAGCACTCTCTCCCCAGCATGGCACTGTATAGTCAGCTTCGACGATATGAGTTTCAAGCCCCGAAATGGGGCTTGAACCCACTACTTTCCAGCTTAGAGGTGAGAGTGCTACTGACTGAGCCAGGCTGACAGAAATAAATTAATATGGATCAGGGATTCTAGGTCCTGGTACAAGTATTGGTGGTGCCCAAGAGAAAGGAACACCAGCGCAGTCAATCATATCATCAACCATGAGCTCAAGGGGCTTCTTCAAATTCTTCCTGAGTGCGTACAGGAATTTTGGGCATGTCAGACAGGCTGATTAATCTCTATCAATTTACCTTCTCCACCTTGAGGTGAACAATGGTTTTGAAGACCTTTGTAAATTCCTTCCATATTGTAAGAGTGCTGCTTTTCATCGCTCATTTTACTCCATCCCTTAAGCCAGTAGTGGCCAACTTGTAGCCCCAAGGGGCCATCAAGAAGTAGCTCTCCTCCTCCCCACCGAATGTTTATACAAGTCTAAGTAAGTCCATGTTATCACTTTTTTCCTGATTGAATATTTCTCGATTTATGGCACACATCAAGAAATATTCAATCAAGAGAATTTATTTTGTTGGCTGATCATAAAGGTTGGCCACCACTACCTTAAGCCTTTCTCTGGCCTGTTTGAGGGACAGTGTGCAAATGGGCTGCCTACAAATACAGTCGCCACACTTTACAGCAAACCCTGTGAAGTGCTTTGAGATGTTCTCCTGACATAAAAGGCACTGTATCAAATACGAGGAGTATTTCCTTTTTAAGCTGAGCAGCTGCCACGTTTGTGCTGTTGATGGGCTTCAAAATGACCCAGCCGCATTACATTATATAACTGCTCTCTTTGCTGCCTTTATGGTTCTTTTGAACGCGCTGAGCAATGACACAGGCGTGTCAGACCTACGTGGAAATGGTCTGAGCTTTAAATCAGCTTCGCACTCAGTTCTTTTGAAGCAGAAAATAGTGTTTCAATAGTGATTCTTGGCCTTCCAAAATCAGACAACACTTTCAACTGCTCCATTTTCAATCTGTAGCACAGTTGTCTGGTCCGTCCTTGACATGGCAATAACCTCACTCCCCCAACATTCCCCCTTCAGTTTTCCTTTCAATATGAAACACGGTTCTCTTGCTCCGTGTTTGATGCATATATGGTTCCTGTCTGATTCACTCTGTAATGTGCTTTGGATAGTTCCACTTTTTTTTGCCCAGTGCCAGACTCGCTTCCATGCACCCATCGCATCTCTCTGGTTTTACCATCACTTTACTTGTGATCGCAGAGCGAAATGCGGTGGGGAGGTGATGAGGGTGGTGTTGGCGCAGGTAAAAAGTGACCAAAAGTACAAAGATAAGTCTTAAGACAGGCTTTATAGGTCCTGGAGGGGAAAATCTAGATCAGGGGTAATCTTGTTATAACAAGATCCTCTGGCTCCAATATCTCAAAAGATCTTTCAAAAGCAAATCAGATAAACTTCTTTTAGAAAATAATATCTTGGGATGCAGTACATAGTTTGGGACATGACATGTGTATGTGACTACGCCTAGCAATTCTTACGTTCTTATCTTGAGTTATAAGCGAAACATGGGGAGTGAGGCGACATTAGATCCAGTCATTGCCCCCTTCCAGTCTCTTTAGCCATTTCAGACCAGATCGCCAATAGGACAGGTCAGAGAGGGACAGAGATAACCATCGCTGGTCATGTTCACCACAGACACGTGCAGCGTGTGGACTCCTACAGATAGGTTCTTATCTAGTGCTGATCACTGCTGTTGTCTGTGGGACCAGCTTCTGAATAAAACAGAGGATCACGAGCCCATTCTGACTGCATCTTTCCTCCTGTTGCATCTGTCACTCGTCAACCTTCTGACCCTCCAGCCAGGAGCTATTCCCCTCAATGACTGACAGGCGCCGCCACAACGCCTCGTTCCCTCTGCTGGCCACACACATAATTACATAATATAACCCTAAATGCTGGACGGGTCAGTAGATCTATTCTGCCGTACGACTGGCTGCACAATGGGGGTGTTTAGCCTCCCGGGTTCCACATTCTGCCGTGCGCAATTGGCTGCTGCGTTTCGCCCACAAAATATACAGTCAGTTCACTTTACAATATATTCTGTGAAACGTTTTGAGACGTCTCAAAGACGTGAGAAGGTGCTATATCAAATGCCAGGATTATTATTGTTACTATTATTATGCTTTCACTAAGAATAGGAGAAATCCAGTTACCAGGTCCTCTGGCTCCAGTCTCCCAGACGCCCCGTCCTCTCACTCGTCTACAAATCCCTTCACGTCCTGGCACCTCCCTACCTTTCTGACCTGCTTTCTCCCCACTCCACTACCCGCTGCCTCTGCTTGGTTGGCCCTGGTCTCCTGTTTGTCCCTCCACTGCACCATCGCCGGCTGAGTGAAGGGAGTGGGCAGAAGAGTGGGGTATGAGCAAGGCACAAACAGAGCACACAAGATGGCGTTGGCAGGATTTTGATGCTCTGGAATGGCCCCTTTTAAATACATCTCTTCTTTCTGTCAATAAACATCTGGGCAACAAACATCTGGGAACATGCTTAATTTTACAGCAAAGTGATCCAGACATTGAAAGTGCCATTCGTAAATGGGTCATAGTGACGACACAAGTCCTGCTGCTGTGAGCTACGAAGACACATTTGATTCCTATGAGCTTCTCTTTGTGAATTTTCTCAACACATACATACACACAACCCACCCCCCGCCCCACACACACACCCATACACACACACACATACACATACACACAAAGCCATGCATACTCACACCCACACACACACACACATACACACAAACTCATACATACTCACACTCACACCCATACACACACACTCATGTACACATATGCCAAGCACGCACACCGAGCGATTGTGATCTTACCTTTGCTATTTCCATCCGGCCCTCGAAGGATTGTGCATTCTTCAATGTTACCGAAAGCTTCGAATAGTCTTCGTACGTCTTCCTCTGACTGTTGTTTGTTCAGCATGCCCACAAACAATTTTCTGTCTTCTGGAACAAAAGTTAAAGGTGCTTACCACATCCTCGCTTGTCAATGTTATTTCACATTCAGTAATAAACATACACAAAGCAACTGATGATTTACGTTTGCGAATTGGCAGTTTAGATTTCCTTCACTCCCCCTCCACCCCCCACCATATTCCATCTTAGAACATTCTCACGTTAAACCAGAAGGTGGTCGTCACTTTCAATGCGATTGTATAAAAATATCTTGACAATTTATCGCTCTGACAGATTGATGCGATCTGTAGAGTATCTGCTTTCCTCGCTCATTAAAAGTAATACATTTTTACAAGATCACAACAGGGATTATTCTCCCCCCAGCAGTGACTGTATTATACAGTGTGTTTTTTTTCATTTTAATATGGCATATTGGGATTTTTTTTGCTTCACCGTGATGGATAGGGTATCTTATTTGTTTCAGATGACAGGAGACAGAAGGCTCCCCCATACCTTCTTCTATCCGAATTGGAAGTTGTTACGTGATAGGAGCTAAAACAAAATGCCTGTAAATCTGGGTCTTTCAACCTCAGCGAAAAAGACCACCTCTTCCATATGGGTCTGACATCTATTCAGGCTCCTGTTCATTTTTGACATCCTGTCTTAAGATGGCAGCAGTGCATCAGAAGCAGACAGGCCAGTATTGCAATACTCTATACTTTACTCAGCGTAATTTATACAGCGCCTTTCACGTCAGCAGGGTGTCTCAAAGCGTTGGACAGTGCTGGCTGAGCACCCAAGCCGGGCAATAGGGGGGTGGAGAGGCAGGCTTTGAAAGTGACGTTCCAAAAAGCCGGGGCGGAATAGCTCAAAACTCGCCTGCCAGAGTGGGGTGGATAGGATGGCGGGAAATGAAATAGGCCAGTATAGCTTCTCAACCCATCGTCTCTCATGCCAACTCACATCTTAACCACACAAGTGCCTCTCTGCCTGTCCAGCTGGAACCACAATGATTAAGGCTGAGTTATAAGTTGCTCTGAGACCATAACAACAACTTGTATTTATATGGGATAGCGTCTCGGAGCATTTAAGGTAAAAGACCAACATATAACCCTCACATGAATATAACTACTGTACATAACCCTCACACCTATAAAACCATTGTAATATGACACTCACATGTACAGAACCACTGCATACACCCTTCACACCTACGTAAATACTGTATATAACCCTCACTGCAAATGAAATTTCACTTCTGGGCTTTTAGTTATATCACAGCACACAAACCTGCCTATCATCAGCTGCCTCTATATCAGTGTTGAACGAGTCACACAATATAGCTGCAATTTATTTATCAAACAGAACAACGGCAACCGAAACAACAACATCTTCGATTTTATTGGCCGCATTGCCCTTCATAACAACATTCTCTTCATTTCCAATTGGTTTGATTTGGTGAAGCGCTACAGGATGTTTATTCTATGTGAAAGGCCCTGTACGAACAAAAGTTGAACGGAAGTTTTATCTTGTGAGAAGGAGCTGAAAACAGTGTAGAGAAACCAATGTCTAAACCACTGTTCGTTTTGCTTTTTAAATTTCTGCCTTTTGCACCTCGACCAAAACGGCTGGCAGGCTTGACTGGGCTGCGGACTGGTACAGAACAACAGCTTGGCTTGACTTGGCTTCTCTCTGTCTCTCCCACCCTTTGTACATCCCACTGTTAGCCTGGCTGATGGAAGTGACTTGGCTGTGCTGGGAATCAGGGAAGCAAAGTCACAACGCTACATTTCCCTGGCTCTGCCCTCCTCTCTTCCTCCTTCTCCGCCCCAGGCGACTTTCTCGGGAATCTTAATTCAGAATAAAGTATTGCCTGTGATGTGAGCTACCCTGAGGAATCATTGCTGTAGAAAGGGTAGCGAGCAGCTGCAAGTTATCTGCAGGGCCAATGAAGATAGTCACGTCAGCTTCTGGTCGAAACACAACGAGAAGCTGAGGGAACGTGTCAGGATTTTTTTTCCTCTCCTTTATTCGCCGAATGATAAACTGGGTCAGAATTGATCAAATCTATCACACCCACAGCTGTGAGCGGACTGGACTGGACTGTCAGATCACCACAGCAGGGGCTCAAACTGTACCCAGAGTGTAGTGCGTGTCCTGCGGTGGGGGATGGTGGGGGGAGCTGGAGGGGTGTGGTGGAAGGCCTACTGATGGCAGTAAAATGGGTCGGCACCAGATGATGTAATGCAGTGAGAGTGGAGGTACTTTATACATAAGTGGAATCACTGCCAGCAAAATAATAATATAGTAATAATAATAATCCTTGCATTTGATACAGCTCCTTATCACATCTTCGAGATGTCTCAAAGCGCTTCACAGAAAATACTGTGAAGGGTAGTGACTGTATATTTTGTGGCCAAAACGCGGCAGCCAATTGCGCAGAGCAGTCATGGATTGAGTGACCAAATTATTATTTTTTCAAAAAGATTTTTTTTAAAAGGGAGCGTTACCCCCGGATAGGCAAAATATGCAAAATATTGAAACAAGAGCGACAGATTTCACTTGTATGCTACATTTTACATGGGGAGAAGGGTTTCCCAAAGCTCTTTACAAAGAAGGAATGGGAACCTGAATTAATGATAATAAATAATAATAACTCTCATGTTTAATATATCATGCCTTTCCCAGTGTCTCCAAGGATTCACGGAATTTACTGTAACAAGTGTAGTGACAATTTTTTAGGTGAACGTGGTAGTCAATTTGTGCACAGCAATGTCCCACAAACAGCTATGAAGTGAATGACCAATTATTTATTTGAGAGATTGTTGGCCAGGATAGAGGGTGAAACTCTTTTTTGAATCGTGCCATGGGATCTTAAACGTCCACTTGAACAAGCGGACTGGATCTCGGTTTAAAATCTCATTCAAAGGACGGTACCTCCAGCAACTCAACAACCCCCACAACACTGCATTGGATTGTCTGCTTAGACTATGTCTAGGGACGGTGGTTGGTGGGTGGGGGGGAGTGTTGGAGATTAGTGGGGGAGGTGAAGATGCAGTCAATGTGATCATTTTTTAAACCAGTTTTGAAGGCAGAGAGCGAAGTGAAGAGAATTCAATTTTTTCCAGGAATAGTTTTCCCTCTCACCCACTCCCCTCTCTCTCTCTCTCTCTCTCTCTCTGTTTCACTCTCTCTCTCACCCGTTCAAAGCAACTCATCTTCATGGCATAAAACCAAGGCCAATGCAAGTTGCAAGCAAAAGCTTGGAGACCAATGCCAGTGGGATGGCCAAATCCCTGGGCTCTTTCGAGCACACTCCAGAGAGGAGACCTTCAACTAATGATCCATCTTCAAAGGCTGAAATCTGTTCAAACGAAAGTGCTTTAGGGCATACATGGGACTGTGCACTGTCTTTCTCCCACAGTGCCATCGCCCTTTAAGAGTTGAACAGAAGCTAATTTATTTTGAAATACGCTGCTGTATATTTAATAATAATCCTTGCATTTGATATAGCGCCTCATCACGTTATTGAGACATCTCAAAGCGCTTCAAAGAATATGCTGTAAAGTGAATTGACTGTGTATTTTGCAGGCGAACGTGGCAGCCAATTGCACACAGCAGTGTCCCACAAACAGTGGTGGGTTGAGTGACAAAATTATTATTACCCCCAAAAAGCGATCTGCCGATTGACTGCACAACGCTAAGCTGTATAGTCAAAGTCCTGCTTTAAGCGCTCAGTGACGTTACCCTGGAGGGCTCTATCTAAGTGCAAGTTGTTGTTGTTGTTGTTGACTAACAACTGAACTCCTATTTACTGCTAGGAAAACAGAGGTGTGTGGAGTAAGGAAACTTGCCTAATGTTTCGCCCTGCCCAGGAATCGAACCTGGGTCCTCTCACTTGCAAGGCGAGGGCTCTAACCAATACGCTCCAGGACTCCACAATTTAAAAATGAAACAGTTATCAGAATACTTGAGGTAAGACGTACAAGCGATAATTAACGGATTGTTTTTGTCATGTCGGGAGAACTTGTCAAAGTGCTTCCCAAGATTTACTATAAAGTGTAGCGCGGTTGTCCGAGACAGCTCTGCGTGGAAGGCTCTATATGAATCGAAGTTCAGTGTAGTGACTGGGCAGCTTGTAAGATCAGCCACTTAAACAGGTCATAAAATGGGACAGATTCAATGTTTCAATTCAATTTTTCGACGTCCTTCTCACCAGCCTCCCCAGCTCCACCCTCCACAAGCTCTGGATCATCTAGAATTCCATAGCCCGCATCCCATAACAATAGAAACCCCTTGTGTTTGATTACAGAGTCTTATCAAGTCATTGACATTTCTCAAAGTGCTTCACAGAATTTTACTGTAAAGTCTTAGCTGCGGTGTATCATGCAGGTGAACAGGGCAGGCAATTTGGATACTCTTACACGTGGTGATGGCTTCCCACATGTGTCAGACACCCAGCTGGCCAAAAACAACCTGCATCAAACTAACCTTGTCAGACTCCAGTTGTCTCAACTGCTGTGTTCTCTTGCCTTTGCTGTGCTAACAAACGTGTCACTGTGCTGAGATCTGTCAAGCGAGTTTTGTTATTCTGAATGATCGCAGCCCGCTATTTATTATTGTTATTGCTGACAAGGGACCGAAAAATCCAATGACTCTCACTGGCGTAAATTATTTAGTAATATTTTATCCGATAATGCGAGCAGACCAATTACCAGAGCAGATTGACAATAATAATGTGCGCTGCCATGTTCAACAACTTTGTCAGGATTCCAAATGTTACGACGAGAACATTTCGGAAAATTGTGCGAAGGAAAAAAAANCGTAGCTGTTTGTTCCGATCTGCTGGTCCTCCTGATAGTGACAGAGGTGAAAGGTGGCCCATGAATGCGTATTGTTGGCTGGATATTGTGGACGTTTCTACGTACAGTCAATTCACTTTACAGTACAATTTCGTGAAGTGCTTTGAGACATCTCAAAGACGTGATATCTTGTGATATCAAATGCAAGGATTATTATTATTATTATTTAATCTTACAAGCCAAACTCTA